CGGACGTTAACAACTTGGAGCCGAGCTTGATACCTTGCCAGATGGACGTCGGTCAACGCGCTGTCGGTCATCATATGGCGTGTGTGCCATCTGCTGCATCTTCAATGAACTGTTACAACGCCGGTGAATTAGCCTCAATGGAGTACGCCACAAATGTCGTAGCTGCTGCCGCAGCTTCCACTACAGCCGCCCCTTGCTTCGTGCCGTTTCATCATAGTTCTCCAACGGAGTCAAGTCAAGCATCCGGCACAGACATCAGTGAAGAAGATGATTCGGTACGTAGTCGTTTTGATTCACATCTGCCTGCCCGTCAATCAGACACTTTGAGGATACAGGAGTACGTCACTGTGCGTTTTATTCTTGGTGTTTCTTAATTTTTTAACCCCATCCAGCTGATCGAACTAACACCTAAAAACAACGCACTGATATTTTAGACCAACTATATGTCAAATCAGGGAGCTGAACTTACGGATCCTTATACAAGACTAAGAAGTATACAAGGGTGGAAAATTGCTGAGCTCACACTAATACATTTCTGTATATTAACTGAAGCCGACGCCTCTTCTAATTTTATGGTTAGCAGCACGAAAAACAAGAAATGAAATATTGATCTATTAATATAGCTTCATTTTCCAGTAATCCAATAACATTCAGGTAGTGTTTATTCTCTAATGATCAGTCCATGTTCCCAGTGCTAACGTATGGATCCCAAGTCTAAAAGCAACTCATAAACTGCAAACGCAACACAACAGGGCAATGTGTGTAGAGGTATCAGCCCAAAGAAGTAGGAAGTAGAACGATGAGAGAATGAACAGGAGTCTGTGATAATGCAAGTAGCGAAGTTAAAGTGGTAATGGGTAAGAAGTGTTGAAAAACAGACGATCATTGAATCAGAGAGACATCAGACCACGTTCGAAGAAACTGCGAACAGCCATTGGAAAGACCTCCAAATCGATTGCACGACGAGCTGAAGAAATTTGTTGGAGCAACATTGATTTTTTGGCAAAATCTTGGAAAGACCTTGATTCGGCAGTCGATCGAAAAGGCTGATGAAGAATGACACTGCTCATTTATTAATGATACTCGATGCCAGTCTAGTCGTAATATCAGATCGCTATTAAGCAAAAATTTGTTTTCATGTTGCTAACCATGGAATCAGAATTCGTATTCCTAGCAATTTTCTTTTCTGTCATTATTTTTACGGGAAGGCCTTTGAAGTGACAGGAAAGAAAAAATGGAAAGTCTTCAACGACTGGCATCCCTGACATTTTCATGGCTGAGCATCATTGATGGCGCCCTTCTTTCTTATGATGGTTATGGAGCGCGCAAATTTTCGTTACCGTGCTAGCAGCCTGGAGATTCTTATTGTTCATTTTCTTTCTGTGCGTTATTTACCTCCTTCTGCCAGCTATGACGCTGAGTTCACTGTTTCCTTCCCACGAACTGGTCATCATTTACTTACTTCGAAGGGAAGAAAGACCAATTACCCAACTGGGACTCGAACCCAACACCTCTGCTCTGCTGCCCCCCTTTTGGCTGAGAATCGGCTCTGGAATCAGGGCTAAGGGTGGAATTTGCAGCAAATTTCTACATATGACCAAACGCTAAATTTTATTAAACTAAATTTCCTGCTTTGAGCTTCCATAGGATTGCAAAAGATCAACGCTTTTTCTGTATACTAAACTCTTCTTTACTTCATACTATGATTATGAGGACATTAGGTTAAATATCAGTATCACTTGTCTGAATCAATTAATCGATCAATGGTATGTTAAGTTATGTTACGTGATTGCGACTAACAAAATCGATTCCATGCAAACGTATGTGTGCGTGCTTGTATGGGATTATCATCACCTTAAAGCGTTAGCATCAACAGAACGACTCTGGTTTGTAATGCCCCTTGTGCTAGCAGTTTTACAATACTTTTGATATAAGGCTTCGATTACTGCATACTATGGGAAACATTTAATAAATGGTTTCTCCACATTGCATCCTCACCACCCGGCCAACGTCAGCCTCGTTTCAGCTGCTGCGCAAGAAGCTTGCGGGATG